TGAGAATTGCTTAGTTAAAAGAAGCAATTCAGAGAATGAGGAACAGAGTGTTTCCAAGGGTTCTCGTCTGCAGTCGAGAGTAGACAAGAATTTGGGAATTTTAGACATTCCCCTCTACTTGATCGAGCTAAGAAGATAGAAAGTAAGACAGGAAAAGAGTCACAATAATAAGAAGGTTCAGTAATTCTAAGTCTTAGAGTATGAAACGGGATACATGTATCCCCTGTTGGAAGTAATCATTGTAATGTGTCGATTTTCCCTACTTAATTTTCCTTTGTTTTCCGTTTGTTCAGTCCATGGTCACTGAGAAATCATTTGCTGAAATTTTTTACTTCCTTGGGTACCTCACTGCCCTCTCTCCCCTTCTCCCTCCAACTCTTCGATCCCTATACCCGTAGGCAAACCATTAAGGGGCTCTGTTACTCAATGGATTGATTTGTCTTTTCGTACCCTTTGGAAGCACCTAAGCTGTTACTTTCTCTTACATTAGTCTGCGCCTATGTTTTGCGGCAAAAGATCAAAACGGGGGAGCTAAGAAAATCGGACTTCCACGGTCAAATGAACATTTTTTTATCATCATTTGTATAGGGAGAAGCATAGCTCACTAGTATTTAACTCCGCCATAAATGTCAGAAAAGCAATGAAGAGGGTCGTTGCAGAAATTTGCTCAATCAGTTGTCCAGCAGTTGAAAGGTACCTTCATACAGTGGCTATTTCCATTGGGAAAGAGTTAGTGTTACTAGCCCTCAGTATTGTTTCTGTGAAGCAAGAGGAGAGCTAGATCTTTAATCACAATGAAAGGAGCGAGAGTGTGAAACTTTTTTGAAACTGTTTGTGACTCATTAAAGTTTCCAAAATACTCACTCAGTACCCCTAAAGCCATTGTATTGAGGCTAGGGCTATTCGTGTATTGAGGCTAGGTACTATGGCTTTTATCAGTCTTGGCAGGGCCAGCTTCTTCCAGAATCGTCTCGATGACTTGAAACTACATGCGCGAGTCGGACATCCTCAAGTCAGTGCTCAGTCCAAGCATGTAAGCCGATTGTTTTTATTGATATTGTCGTCGAGTAAGCTTACATAGACTTGAGAGTCCCCCAAATTTATGTAGGTCTACAAGTTTCTTGGAAAGTTGCGTTGGAGGGAAGATTGATGGTTGGCTATTCATTGCTCTGATTACCAATTCGGAGTAGAAAAACCAATGAGTAAGGCCAATTCTGCGTATTTTCCTTAATATTCAACAAATTGAAATAAGTAAGTGGGTCTAACCCGAGCGAAGCAAGCTGCATGCTCTTCGAATAGGGGCTGTCCAGCCCCACACATATAACCGTAGCTGGCATCGACCGCATCCACCGACAACGAGTCGCAAGTGATTGAGGCGACACAATTCTGCAATAAAATCGGGTTACGGTACTCTAAAAAGGGAACTTCCTGTCACTAAATAGCTGCCCTTGTCTTACTGTAGGATTACGGTAGCTGCCAGAGAAACAAAAATGACTCAACCTTGAAATCCGTGTATATTGAACAGAGCTTTCTGAACACTTCGCCTCCTTGTAAGGGGAACTGTACAGCACCGGTGTCTGCTTGTAGTTTAGCAGCGTAGTCCAACATTGGCTGTAATATGGAAGCTGGGCTCACTTTTTAACTTGCTTTTATTCTTTTTTTGAAGCGGAGACAGTACTGTTCAGTGGTCGGCTACCAGACGTATAGTACAGGCATTGAATCCTAAGCTCAGATCCTATTCTGAGGCGGAATGTGGTCTATCAATGCCAATGGTCTGCAGGACCAGCCAATGAACAAGGGCGTAATTTAACCTCCCAGAAAAAGATGCCATTAATCTATCGTCCCCCCAAGGGATTTAAGGCTCAGTTGTTCCTGACAGGTATCGATCTGGTATTCGATTAACGAGAGGGTGGCGCTTTTACGTTAGCTTACTTCTTTCCTGTTGAAAACTAATACCCCTTCAAATGCATTTGAATTTAACTACAGTTTAGTACCAAGAGTGACACTTCTCAACCAGAACTCGGGCAGCGCGAAATGTTCCTTCCTTCTGATCTTCCCCCCATCAGCCTTAGATGTGGACGATCAGGAGCCCAAATATCCCTTAGAAGTGCTCATTCATGAATTCATCCTGGAGCTAGAAGTTCAGGATAACTCGTCCCAATTTACCATTTTGCCGATTTATCCCGAAAAACACCAGAGGTGCCCCTCAGTACCTGTGTAGAGGCTAAGTATTCGAGTAGTCCACCTTACTGCGATCTTTAAAGTAGGCTGAGGGCTTTTAGTATTTATCATTTCCTATTTCTTCTTTTTCATTTTTATTTCTTTTTTTATGTATTTCTCCATCGAACCGACCTGCAGGCATTCGTTCACTTTGCGTTCCTCGTTCAAACTGCATCGTTCAACCTCTTCAGTGATAGCCACCCGTATGAAGCTGTAGAATATGACGGAAAGAAGTATAACGTTTGTCGACATACTAGTAACTAGACATTTCTCTGAAAATTTCAACAATTTATCAAAGCGCTGTGCTTACCATGTAAACAAAGATACGTATGTCTAGAAATTCCGGCAGTTCTTCGTCAAAATCTCTAAATATCAAAAGACTGAGGTTATGCATGAACAGAAGTGGGTAGGACTGATGTGTGAGAGGCACTGGGAAAGAGAAGCATCAACGGATAATGAAGGAACAGGAAAGAAGCGAGAAGTGATGAGGGGAAAAATGGAAAGTTTCTATAATAATTTGTTTATTTTACTGCTTTTGTTTTTACTGTTTTATTTATAGAGTTTTTTAGATTTCATTTATTATTTTTCAATCAAAGATAGCTACTCACTAGAAATGAAGGAAGGTCTCATAGCTTTATTTTGTTCCTAATCGAAGACTAAGAAGAGAAGAATCACTGAGTTAAAGGAATGCAAATTAGGCTTTGTGCCTTCGTTCTCTCGACTTGCTCATCTATGATGCTCATAAAAACAGTTAATCAAGTAAATTTACTCAAGTACCTAGCTTCGGGAGACTAACGGGAACATAGATAATGCAGTATCAGATGGGGCACACATACAGTTGGGAGATCATCTCTGGGCACCTGCCAGATAGACTTTCAATTTCTCTACAGTCGACTAGTCGCTGTGTAGGAGAAATATCGAAGAATTTCTTGAAAAATCACTCTCAGTACTTGAACAGGCCGGGTTTAATTTTGGCAAAAGTCGGCTGGTTAGTGAAAGGCATAGGTATCCTATAAGGAATCTGATCAATCACGAGTATTTCATCTATAATTTGATAGCGTCAGGAAAATAATTAATTGCACTCCTGAATTTTCCTTATTAGTCTCATCTAGACACATACATATACATAATAATCACTTTGTCGGTTACTCCTACTTCGAGTAGCCTTTAATTAGAGCAGATTTTGTAGCTATCGAATGAACAGATATGAAATCAATCTGGTTCATCCCATTTACAGATACCCTTTTTCACTTTACAGCAATCTCAAAAAGATTGAACTAACAGAACCATCGTACTTTAATTCCCTACCCGGATACCTTCGGTTAACTTGGCTCTTGAAAGCTATCAGATACTTTCAAGGCTCCTATGAAAATTTCTTAGGATGTCCCGAAAAACTTGTGTTATCTGATATCCAGGAGTTGATAAATCCTCATAGAGTTGGTGAGTTGTAAGGGATAAATATCACGGTGCGTGCATGGCACAGCTATGGGTTCGATTCCCGTCCGAGACTGAAATTCTGCCCGTAACCCGCCAACCTTTTGAGTCTTCTGGATTACATGTGCGGCGAAACAACAGTAGTCAACAAAACGTCAAGTCAAATAGGATAAATTATTATTATAAATGTAATAATATTTATCAATATTAATGAATGCTAATGACTATGAGAGCAACCGAAATCTTCTTTAAACGTGCTCGACGAGTAAACACGGTAGGAAACGCACAGTTAAAAGTTCTCCTTGGGAGATTGCTGTGAAAAGTAGAATGGTGGAGTGGTGGAATATAAGTGGTGGAATATAACTTCTCCTGAGACCCTTATAATAAGTCAACAAATTAAAAGTGATCTCAAAATGGAGAGAGACACTGATAGATTTGAAGCATTTATCTATCCCCTGATTAGGTGGTTTTACCTACAAGCTCTCTGGGAATGACTTTTTTGGACTCAATCCAGTGTTCTTCTCCTTTGAGATTTTGAACACCATTACTGGGGCATATAGTTCTTTTCGTAAACTAATGACCAGGTATAAGGTGTGAAGTAAAAGAGGTAGCATAATTTTTCAGTGATTTAACCAGTTGTATGTGTGGGTGGGCCTCAAGTTCGATATTGTGAATCAGTACATCACGCGATTTAACTTAATAATAATTAATTCAAGAAGAAGGCAGACAACCCCCTCCCTCCTCAAATTGCTGCACCTTGCCACAATCTACAAGTTCTTAAAAAAGTTAAAAATAGAATTAGATAGCTCTGAATCTATTATGAGATGAGGAGGACGCACTGGAATGCGATGCCGACGTTCGAGCGAATATGCAGACGTCTCGGACTGATCTGAGAGGCGGAATCTTGAAGTGGCATAAGAAGTTGCCATGCTTGTCGTCGTCGTCGTTGTCGTCGTCGTTGCTGCGGACGGCCACAATTAGATCAGCGCCCACTTATTGGATGTCGTCGTCCACGCCTCCGTCTCGTGCAGGCCACAAGCACTGCTATCCAGCCTGCTAGCTAGCAGTGGCTGTGTCGAGTCATCAAACAATTTGTACGAGCATTCATGAGCTCAAGAGTGGAACCAAACCACCCTCTTGGAAAGTGAGAAGTTTCGGTTTTGGAGGGTCACTGGAACTAAGCTCTATTATTAGCCTTCCGAATTTATTGATTCTGAAAATTTATGAGGCCCCAAAAGAGTCAAGGGATTTCTGAACAAAGAGCACCAAAATTGCTTTGAAGCTCTGTGCATAAAAGGCAAATCTATTCTCTGAGAAGAATTTTTCATTTTCGAGTGGGATGACAGAACGCGAAGCTCAGATACATATGAGCTCAGAGAGCCTATCCAATTAGCAAGGACGATGACAGCATATGTTCCTTTTGATTTTTCTCTCTGCAGATGAGTTGGACGCTGAGTACATAGGAATTCAGGATGGAAAACGAAGAAGGGGTCGAAGCTAGTTCTTTGGAGAGTGGGGAGACTACCCATTTGGGACAGTTAGTATTCACCTTCATCGAAGCTCCTCCGCTCCTTTTCCTTTATCTTCACGAACCGAAGGCATTCAAGGTAGTTGTTGCTCAGAGCGAGATTCAGGGGTCCTCTTGAACATGGAAGAGTCGCTTTCTTATCATTACCCCAGGTGCTGGCGAAAAATTAGTTCAATGTCCGGATCGCATCTCATATAACTGGCTTTAGTCATAAAGATCAATCGCACGAGCATCTTTTCTTTTCAGTTCATTTTTACAGTACCAAAAAACCCGCAAGAAAGCTTCAGAGCGGGACTCACATAAAATATGGTAGAAGGCTTTTTTGAAAAAAAAGACGAGTTGTCAAGCTCCTTTCCAGTTTCTCGACAAATGAAAAATGTCTTTTGAAAGTAAAGCATGCGCTTTTGAGAGTCATATTTCGTTCAAATATTAACTGGATACACTGATTCCTCTGCTAGTTTTCATTAATTTCAACCAAACTTTAGTATTTCCTTTTAGAAAATATCATGAATTACTACGTACATATCTCTACTATCAAGTCTAGACTAATATGACCGAATCAAAGCAGCTATAGCTGCCTTCCATACGGGGGTCACTTCGCCCAACTTGAGTTCAAAGCAAAGTTCACAATGTAAGTTCATGCCTTTTCCGACTCTCCCCCTCCCCCCTTATGAACTAAATCATATGGATAACGAAAAAGTTGCAAATCATAGTTTGCGCCACAGATCTATTCAAGGAATAGAGATGATCCTCGTTTTCAATGGGATATTGTCCTGGAAGTTCCAGTACCTCATCTGTCTTCGTGACTCCGTGTCCCCAAAATGATCCTAAACCTCCCTCCAAAGTTACCAATATGGTGAGCTTTGAAAAGTGAGGATGGTCCGAAATGCAAGTGAACCTCATGAAGATAGTCCGTTGAACTTGCATCGAAGATTTACATATCTATCGATGGTCAACATGGAGGTTACTATTAAGTCGAGGAAAAACGCCGAGTGTTTGTATATCTTGTCGAATTCTGGGGAGAACGGCATATCCTTGTTTTGAGTGGCCTCATTATAAGTGACTTCAGTACGGCTCCAGACTTTCGCAGCAAGCAAGATGGAGGCGTGAAGCATACTCGTCTATGTATCATTATGTAGGCAGAATCTGCGCCAAGCATCCCTGAAATTCGTGAAACCTGGTTTTGAGGCTTTTTTCGTGTTTTCATTACACTGACCATAGTCCATGTCGCACATCATAATAGGAAGAGAGAAGTGTACCTTAAGGTCTCTTCAGCTGCCCCTGGAAAGTTTCCCTTGTACAAGAGCAAAAGCTTTGCAATAGCCCAGGTATGTGTTGGAGCCTCGAGGTTGAGAGTGTGACTCCTAAATGGCTCGTATACAAAAAAGAAAAGGAAGCAAAGCCAAACGATATTCTCGGGTATTTGCGAGTTGGGTCTCATTTTGTTTTTGACTGAGCCCGTCTCTAAGAAACGTATAAAGGTCTACTTTCTCTGATTAATGGTAATTGATTCTTTGTTGTTGGTGGAAAGAATGGAAAAAGGTAATTCCAACCCGAATCAAATGGCTTCTAGTTAGTGGAAGCCTTTTTGGTCCAAGAACTCATCGGTTTGAGATTCGTTCGTCGGTGATTCAGCCACAACAGGTCGTTTGACCTAGGTTCATAATAGCGAAGGCTTCTATACATTGATATCCTCAGACGATCCCACTTGGAGCATGAAAGGTTTGAGTTCCAAGGGAAGCACTGATTGGAATTTGATCCCTGAATTATGCGTTCCGTAGCTAAGACACCTGTACTACTCAAATCCTGCTCTTGATCCCTTGATTCTCAAGAAAAAACACCGACTTTCTTCGATCGTGCGTCTCCGCTTACCCATAAGTGGTCGTACTTCTGTTGCTATTTCTCCTTCTTGAGAGAAAATACACAGCTGCTCGTTAATACCGTATACCACCGTATCCATTTTGATCCCAGGTCAAAGATTAACAAATAGCTTGACCCTCCGATTCATCGCTAAGGTGCAGTAGGCTTCCATTTCCTATATATCCCTCCTTTTCCTCAATTCTATTACTTCCATTAAATTGACGTTGATTGCATGGCGCATCCCCAAAGGGATTGATGAACGTGGAGCATATCGAGCCCTAAGCGCAAATGATTACTTCCGACATTAAGGAACGCCCAAATGTCCTTGTCTTGTCCCTCCTATAACAGCTCTTGTAAAAGCTATTAAACAAGATAGGCATCGGGCCTTATGATCACTTATGCATTTCGCGCCCTGTCAGACTCAACATGG